ATATACATATTGAAGAAAGGGGTGAGGCCGAAGGAAAAGAAACAAAAAAAAAAAGAAAAATATGAAGAAAGATAAGTATATAAAAAAGAAAAAAGTAAACATATTGAAAAGAAAGGAAAAACAATGACAAGATCAGCTTCTATTAGTGTGCATTCACACAATTATATACATGAGTGACTGAATTTAACCATACAATTACATCCATCATTTAATAAACTCTGTAATTCCTACTGTCAGGAACTAAATTTCACTATGCAAAATTTCCCTGAAATAGGCCAAAATGCATTACAAAAAAACTAGCAACAGATTCATGGTCAATATATGATATATTAAGAATTCTTATCATCTATTTAAAGCATATTTGTCAGATCTGAGTCTGAATATTTATCAAAGTCCATGTTATGTGTTTCTGACTTTAAACATTTTAATGCACCACTAGTAGGCCATCACACTCATACTTTTTATTAATATCTTGAAGGTAACCTCCCAATATTATGGATGCAATACACATTTGAATAAAGCCATAAGCAACTATTCATCATAGGCAACAAACGTCATTAATTAACTACGTTTGCAATCGTGTTAATTGTAAACAAATAAATTTACATGCAATGACCTTGTCTCCTAATAAATTGAAAACTTTCTTCCAGAACAATCACAAATTTATCTTTAATAAATCATACATTATCCTCTAGTCTTTGTTCTGCATCATAAACTCAGATAACTTGGGATTCCAATCGGAATTTTCATACAAATAAACATGATCAGCTGATAAATTGGAATAAATTCAGCAGACGAGCCAATCGTGTTGTAAGTGTATGTACTCTATTTTCCTGCTCACCGCGTTTTTATCAAATATTGTCGATTCTCCTTCCATGTCATTCATGTTTGGTTACTCTTATATATAGTATCAGCTTCTGACTGAGAAATCCTTAGAGAATCCCCATAATTTCACTCCCCGGTAAACACATGGCAACACCAGGCTGAAGATACACCGAGGTCATGCACTTGTTTGTAAGATGTATTGCCATGCTTACGTAGCGGAAAGAATACGCACAGAATGAAAGTATGTGATTAATAATGGTATTAGAACTAGACAATTCTATGATATTACTTAATTCAATTCATATTTCATAAGCTTTACATATGGTAACAACTGTTATTTTAACACGTATAGAGCTTAATGTTAAAACTCTGTTAAGATGTTCTCTGATTCTTTGAGTAGTAGAGTTAGACATACCAATTGCAATGTCTGAGTTGTCGAATGATTATGGCAATTGATGTATGATTAAGGCAATGTAAATTCATAAATGAATAAAAGTATAAAGTGTCTTAACCCCATTTTCTCGGAGTCAAAACAAACAAAGTTGCCAAATACGGTTTTATAATTTCTGGTCTAATTACGTCTTACTTCTCTTCGGCTCTTCCAGTGATGGTAACACGATGCATAAACACAGTTTAAATTGTTTGTCTATTATTTGATGGTTTTAAGATAATATGATCTTTCCTGGAAAACAAGAACCGTTTTCTTTCTGTTTTCAGGTGACAGAAAATGGGAAACGATGTAAACATAAGCAGATCTGTAAACCGGGAGGCGTGTAAATTTGAACAATTTGGATTGTTTATGTGTTTTGCAGATGTTCATGCTTGTGGATAGGTGTACATTTTTTATTTGATATCATATCTGATTTGGTAAACTGATTTTGAAATGCGTTCCTATTTACTTTGATTGATATATCCATTATGTGAATATATAGCTGTGGTTTTAACTTACAATCTTTTGCTTTGATATGTATCCTAACTTTTTTTATTTATTATTTTGCCCCATATTACAAAGTATCGATTTGAATTGTGTTAACAGGGAAAGAATAGTTAAATATACCCTTGATATGACTTGATATGGTTGAAATGAAGTAATATGGTAAAATATGAGTTGATAGATATGGGATTTTTTTGTTTTTTACAACCATTGAATCCTAGTTTTGTTTCAAACTATACTGAAAGTTACATATTGATATTATATTGAATCAAATGCAACTGGAGATGACATATACGGTACATGCCGTGTCCACTGTGGCGCCACAAGTGATTAGTCACCAATGAATCAATCACTAGTTGAACCTATTGACTGATTTGGTAAAGCATAGCAACCGCACCAAGCAAAGACCACTTGGTGAAAACAACCCATGTTCGTTCAAAACCTCACTGCGTGCATTTGTATTCGCCATGTTTATCCAAGAATTTTTTTTTTTTTTTTTTTGCATGAAAATGCTGAGGAGTTGTGTAGGCATTGGTTGTTTGACCCACAATATGATGGGAAAGAAAGGTCTCACCTTTCACTAATTCCCAGATCACGAGAAGAAACTCAAAAAATGGAATTGATAGGTTCAGGCCATGAAATGTGTAAATGCTAATGAGAGCTCTTGGGCACCTGTTGGAAAATATGTTTACATTAGAAATAGAGAAGGTGTGATATAACAATGTATAGGTTAATCCAACTCTTATATTCAATAAAATTTACTAAGCAGATTTAAATATTTTCCATCAGGGGGTCTTATCAGCTTTTACGCGTTTTGTACCCTGAACCCATCACTTCCATTTTTCAGGTTTCTTCTCGCAATCTGGGAATATATGAAAGGTGAGACCATCCTTTCCTATCATAATGTGATCAGAACAATCAACAGAATTGGCAATTCAATGTTAGGCCACTTCAAAGAATTGTCGATCCAAATTTCAGCAGGTACACGATATGGACACTTACAGCTGCACAGCCTATAGTTTCACTTCATGACACTTTTTCTCACCAATAGTAAATGTATATTTTTAAATTGCCATTTGTATTTTTTAATGACATGATATTCACAATGTTGGAAAGGACAATAGCATCAATATTAATAGTATAAAAAAGAAAAAAATTGAGGAAAGGGGAAATTGGGTGAGGTCACAGACTTCCAGTTGACTCCGTGATGGCTGAGCACTTCATGGACTCATCTCTGCATAAATGTATTGAATATTACATATTCCAGAGACTATGGGTTAGATTATAAAATAGGAAATGACTACTGGTATGGCAGGAAAGTCTTCGACTGGTGTCCTGCACATTTGGTAAAACAAACAAGATGGCGGCGTCTTGACACGAGAAGATGATACCACTCTCAAGTAGATTTGGTTAGGTTCGTACTTATTAACTTGGTAATAATGTTTATATGCGCATGGGTACGTGGTTGCTATATGCATAACTGCGAGAAATTGGACACAGCTGCTGTATGCATAACCTTGACCTATTTTGGGGTCATACCATATAGTACAGTTCTGTAATGTTTTACTGTAAATGTGTTTCCACTCACAATTTAGAACTTTCATCCCACATGCATTGTGCAAAATTCAATGCTTCGATTTTTACTTTTATTTAATTTTTATGCTTATTCAGGCATACCCAAAATAAGGTGTAGTATATTAGCTGCAGCATTACAGACATAATAAGTGTTTATGTATGCTTAGATGTAATGATTTTTGCCTTAGTTTTCTTGTTAATGATATGTCATTCTAGATGTTTACTCTGTCAGTAGTTAATATTACATCGATTTTGGTAATAGACTTGCTAATATTATACAACTTATTTGTATACAAGTTTAATCTCAGGCAATATATTGTATTTCTATTCAGCCATTGTGATCAGAGATGGCAGTATTTGAAGCTCACTGAATTTAGTTAATTAATCTTATTTATACATAGATGATTACCCTTTTCCTTTTAGAAGTAATTTTTATTTTATATTATTATTAGTATTATTAACCCATTAACCATGCTATCAAAAATTGGCTAGTGGCCAGTAGTGTAACCATGTATTGCCAGTTACCCCAGTTTACATTTGACTTGTTCAGTAAATCAAGCACAACATTAGGCACCCAATTGCTTGTATTTCTATATAATAAACAATAGTTTTGAAATACTGAAGGTTTTCCTTCACTTTAAGGTTTTGCTTCTAATAGTGACACCAAGCAAATGATGTCAGAACTATTAGAGAAAGAGGAGCTCTTTCTGATGCACTGATGGAGCTGGGTATGTCATTATGCAGTATGCTCTATGACTTAGGCCCAGTTTTGCCATGGCATTATAGTTTTTTTTTCCAACCGTGGACAAAAGATTAATAATATTACAATGATTATGCCAGTAATAATAACAGTATTGGTGAATTTTTTACATCTGATGCACCTCAAGGCCACCCAAAATCAAAGTAGAACTTTATCTTGCAGGAGAGTGATACATTGCTTGGTTTATTGGATGGAGATCAGGAATTTGATTGAATCTGGGTGCATAGGATTTAGATATGGTTAGAAAATGGGACAGCATAACAGAATTCATGCTGAAGAGGTCAAAGAGAATTTTTGTGGTAACTGATCCTACAAAATATGTGCTTATAGCAAGGATGTTAGGAGGCACCTATAAAACATTTAAAGTTTTTTTTTGAAACTGAGGATCTGCTCTTACATTGACAGGCCATCAGACTGGCATTAATTTGAAAACAGTAACTCAGGTTCCCCTTTTTTTCCAAGAATTTTACACCATAAAACAAGAAACTACAGCAAAAACAGGGTATAAGTCCTTGTGCTCCATGTTGCTCAAATAAGAAATACTTTATACAGTGTTATTCCACCAAGAGGCACATGTGGTCTGGTACAGCAATGCTGTAAGATATAGACACTATCCTTTTTCCATAAAGGCTCATTTTGATATCTGTAGCAACAGGTCATGGTATACAGTTGACAGGACAAGCTGCCTAACTAACACAATCTGGGACTGCCAACCAGGGCTGCTGGATTTTCTGACTCTGGTTGTCCTAAATGCCTTGATTGACAGATCTCTTGTTGTGATGCTGTGATTGGCAATCTGTATTATTCCAGTTTCCTTTTTTTTCTTATTGAGCTGGGCTCTACCTTAGCACTAGCCTGATGGTCATTGTATAGTAAAACCAGCTGCAAGCAAGTAAAATGCACTACTTAGTTAGCCCAGTAGACTAGTATAAAGTAGGCAATCACAGATGATTGAAAGGTTCCACCCCAGGCAAAGAGTTGACCAGGAACTTTTTAAGAGTAAGAAGTTGCACAAAATTCATTGATGATCTCTTAATCTAAATGAACAAGCCATTGTTCAATTAATCTTGTGTTAAATTCAAAATTTGGTCTAGTTAAAAAACATTAAGCACAAGGCTTGCTGAGGGAATAGAATATGTATTGAAGGAGCAACTTAAATCTGTGTAGAAGCCAGCCAAAAAATAGTAAATTTGACAATATCTCTTTTCTAGAATCAAATTATTATTTGAAAAAATATATGCAAATTATTTTCTATTCATACGTGAGTGTAAAAAAGGAGAATATGCTCAAAATTCTGTAATCTTAAAAAATTACCAACAGTGATGTCATGGATTACCGGCCACGTCA